AAGACAGTCTTACTATGTAACCAAGGCTGCCTGAAACTTGCCACATAGCAGTGTAGGCTGACCTGGAACTCACTATAGAGTCCATTTATTTACAGATGCACTACCCACCTGGCACTTTCATTGTTTATTTTTATTTTTATTTTATGAATGTATTTTGCCTACATGTATGTAAGTGTACCACATGCATACAATGCACATGGAGGCCAGAAGAGAGCACAAGGGCTCCTGGAACTGGACTTATAGATAGCTGTTACCTGTTATGTGGATGCTGGAAACTAAACCTGGGTTCTCCGCAAGAACAGCCAGTGCTTTTAACTGCTGAGCCATTTATCCAGCCCTCATTTTTTTGTTTTTATAAAAGAATCTGGAGATGGACATGGTGGCTCATGCCTGTAATTCCAGCATTCAGGAGGCAGAAGCAAGAAGGATCTCTATGAGTTTGAGGCCTGCCTGGGTCAAGTAGCTAGATCCTGTTTCAATCAGAAAGAAGAGAAACTTGAGGCCCAGTTGAGGCCCAGTCAGCCTGACATGTGCAGCACTAAACAAGAGACCCTGTCTCAAACATGGTGGAAGGTGAGGGCAGACACCCAAGGCTGTTCTCTGCCCTCCCCACATGCATGCCAGGACTCAAACACACAAGCAAGCACACACAAACATATATACAAACACATCAAACACATACACACAAAGAAAAATATCAGTAAGACGCTATAGATGTGATGGTATAAGCATGCCTATAATCTTAGCACTCAGGAGGTGGAGGTAGGAGGATCAGAAGTTCAAGGTCGGCCTCGGATGCATAATGAGTTTGAAGCCAACCTAGCCTAAATGAGAGCCTATCTTCAAAGCAAAACAAGAATATGATTGCTTAATTTACTGAAGGCCACCTAACCTATTATAGGAAGATAGGGAAGAAAAGGAGGTGGGCACCTCAGGTATTTGGCAGTATATATAGCAGGAGAGGGATTTTATCAGTTTTGATGCCTGGTCACTTCCTTCTGGCTTTGGACTAAAGTTACAAGAGATGGGGCTGCAGTTGATGTGGGATGATTCTGAGTCCCTGGGAACTCTAATACAATGGTCCTGGGTGAGAAGTTGAACCACAATAGTTCTACTTCTTCTAAATTATCACACATATTTCAAAAGGTTTCTGAACCAATATGCAGTATCACATAACTAAAAGTCCAAAAGTAAACAGGTGTCCAGATGTCTTAAGGCTTCTATAGGCTGCATAATGGCCATGCTGTCCCACAGTAAAGTACAAAAGGGCATTTTGATAACAAAGCAGTATTAAGTCAGCACTCACAACACAGTTACAATTCTATCAACTATGAGTCTGAAATATAAAATAATAGGCAGGTTGACCTTCTCTCTACTGTCTCTGTTCTAGAGCAGGAGACTACAATGCCTACTTTTCAAAGCTTAAGATTCTAGAACGCCTTCAACTGGTCCAGGAAAGACTGGATGGGGTCCATATGGGCTGCAGAGGAAGAGAAGAAATCTAGACACTGTGGACAGCAATCATGTATGGCTCCAGGGAGCTACTAGAGTGGATGTCTGCCAGGCTGAGTTGGACACAGATAGCTCACCACCAAGAATGCTCTAACACCTAAGGCTGTGCTGCATCTTCATGGATCAAGTCTATGAGAGAGGGAGAGGAAGAGACTGCCTCCGCCCAGGAAGCTTTGCTCTCTCATTCACCATTCAACAAACATTCACTCAACATCCATTTTCTGCCTCACAGAGCTGGGTAGTGGGAATTCCAAAGCAAATAAGACCATCTCCACCCTCAAGAGCCTGGGGTGAGACAGATAAATAAGCACATGACTGCAGCACAGAAAAGGGGCGGCAAGGTACCATGGCAGCCAAAAATGCCTGGGATGAGACACAAAGGCTGAAAGGTCTGAGCTTCTGGCATTTGCTTGACCCTAAAGCCACTCCAATTGCTGCCTTGAGTAGAGAAAAAGGGTCAGCAAGGGAGAAATGGGGCAGCATGGATAACATTCCTGACAACAGACACCTGGGGCTAATATACCTGTATGCTACGGCAATGTCTTAACTCTGTATAGAGGTGTTCAACATGGGGGAGGTGGGGAAAGGCAGCTATTGTTCAAGAGTTTAAACACAACTTCTAGGATCTTGGAGCAGTAACTTCAGGCCATGGAAACATAACAATCAGTCACCCGGCAACCTGAATCTGGGGAGAAAAATCAGAACTCCCAGGCCAAAGAGGAAGTATGATTTGAAACATAAAGAGGGATTGAGTCAGCTCCAAATGCCCTAAGAGTCAGGGTTCCTGCAGCAGCCAAGGTGGCTGCTGCCATCATCCCTGCATGTGAGCCTAGATGATGCTGGCCACCTTCCTAACATGGCTCAGGCACAGACCACCACCCACTCACGGCTCCCCAAGAGCTGGCCAGACATGCACTCTGTGTGCAAAGTGGGCTCACTGTCCCAGCCATGGGTACTTCCAGGCAGAAGAGGGGAATTTGAATAGAATAGTGGGAACTTGTGAGGGAGAATTTGAATAGAATAGTGGAAACTTGTGAGGGAGAAAGCATCCTCAGTAGTCCCTGAAGTAGGATGGGAACAAAGATGAGCTCTGAGCTGAGGAAGTAGCACTTCATGGCCAGCTCATGAGCATACAATGTAACTGGGGCTCTAGGTCTGGAAGAGAAGTGACAATCAGTAAGCCCTGAAAAGTACCTTAGGAAGGACAACATCCCAGGGATACCAAGATATAGAGAGTCATGTTTAGAACCAGCCCCAGGTCTTAAAGGCAGAAAACAGTCCCTAAAGTGATTCATTCATCTTTAAATAGTTCAGAAACAGACAAATTTCTCCTTTAGAGGAGAAAGATTAAGGACAGAGAGACAGATACATTGGCTTAGTGTCACACAGTTAAGTAGGTGCCAGAAAGAAACTGGGCCTTTTGTCCTTCCATGTGCTATTTGTAGAGCCACCAACTTTTTGTATCTACAGCAGGTCCAAAAAGGGGTTCTGCTCTAATTTGGGGTTGTGTCATCCTGCTTTCTGATCTTGAATGAAACCAAGACCAAGGGAAATGGGTCGATGAGCCTAGTTCTCTCCCTGGCTATAATCTCCCAACATTATCTGATACAAGTGGTATGGGGTAGGGCAGAAAAGGTCACGAAAATGATTGTGAACACAAGAGGAACAGATGTACACAGCTGCTATCGCTGGGGAGGACAGATAAGAGTGAGGCTCCAACACATACAGAGCCTTGGCTGTAAGAAGCCCAAATGAGAACCTGAGGTCCTGAGGATGCCAGTGTCCACTCTGAAGACAGCATGTACTGGCCTGGCACACTTTGCGAGCATTCACCAGTATTTGCCATTGGGGGTGGGTTCCCCCTAGCAAATTCCCCCAGCCCTGCCGAGTGGGTGAGGGAATCTTCTGTTTTCTAACCTCAGGGAAAGCAGAACCTAGATCTGAGAGAACTTGGGTTGATTGGTTACCCCAGCTACAATAGCAGCCACTTGGATCAAGGACTTCCCCTAGAAGCACCCCAGTTAAGCAGAAAAATCAACCTGAGCCTGCTAACCAGCTGTTGGACCTTGGTCAATACATTTAACATCGTTGTGATTTCACTTCCCCCTATGAAAAATATGGAAGCTAAACAAGAGGCCTGTTAATTTTTTTCCCCCTAGTTCTAAAACTGAGGATTTGATAAAAGCTCAAACTTCAATCTTCCCAAGAGGAAGATGGCAGAGAGTGAGCTATCATCACCACCCTCTGGGATTTCTCTCATTTGTCCCAACAGGCTAGCACTTATGTACTTTGTGACTGTACCTCACACCATGGCCCCTGTGAAACCTTTCTAGCAGCTGCTTTAGATGTCTGGTCTGCTCCCTTTCCTAGGAAACAGTTTAGACCCTCCATTCCTCCCTCCTCCTGCAAATCTGAACTACTGGTCTCAGGCTGGGGTAGGCCAGGATGACAGGCTCCCAGGGCAGCAGCTCTGGTGTGGCAAGAGCTGGGAGAGAAATAGGGAGACGGGATAGGGCTGCCTATGTTTGCAAATCCCAAGGGACCCAGGTTCTTTCTCTCTCTCTCTCTCTCTCTCTCTCTCTCTCTCTCGTTTCTCTCTCCCTCTCTCTCTCCATGAAACAATTCATGATGGGCTCCAGCTGAATTCTCAGCTCCGGCAGGGTATTTCTATTTCCTGGGTTTTGCTGGGAGGAAAGGAAGGCCTGTAGACTTGAACATCTTTACCCAGGTCAGTTAAGTCGAAAACGATGGTAGAGCAAGGCTAGAAATCCAGATGCCTGGAGCTCTGGGTCAATATTTTTCACACTTTTCCACCCCCAAACAGAAGACTCTGAAAGGACCGCTCTGGCTGTTCAGCCCAACACAGGGTCTTGTTTACATTATCTGAAGACTGTGACCCGAAGGGGAGGCAGGGGAGGAAGCTAGTCTTGAGAGAGGTAGGGCAAAGTTTAGGGCAGTGCTAGCATGGGCAGGATACACATCGGACCTGGAGGCCATTCTAAACCCATCTCAGCTTTGCCAGAGGGGTAAGCGCTGAGGCCTGCAAAAGGGAGAGCTGAAGCCCCTTGACCCATCCCCCTGAAGAAACAGAGAGGGGAGGCTTGGGGGTTTCCCTTCCTTCCTTTTTTTCTTTTTTGGCAGGCGGGCCTTTCAGCCCCCAGGCCTGAAAGTCCCTAACCAGGAGTGTGCGCGTGGAGCTGCCGGGCCACCTCTTTCCCCAAATCCACCTTTTTGGCCTGACACAGACCCTCATCCCTGCTAAACCCTCAACCCTGGCAGTAAGGATGCCCATTCTTAACACCCCTCCGGATGCGGCGCCACTGTGCCGTATATCCCGGGGAGAAATCCTCCCCTCCAAGCGTCGCCAGCCGAGAAAACTAGGCAACACTGCTCACCACGCTGGTGGGCACGGGGCAACCCAGGTCGGCCCTCCCCCGCCGCTGGCAGCCCCCTGGACGCTCCCGCGCCCCCTGACCGCCGAGCCTCACCCAGAAGAGCATGTTGAAGAAGAAGAGCAGATATTTCACTAGCGGGCTGACGAAGGAGAACTCCTCCCCGTAGGCGGCCGGCGCGCCGGGTCTCCGCGCCATGGTGCACCGCTGCCCCCGGGGGCCTATCTCCCAGCGGCCGCCGGCCCACCTGCGCGCCCCGCAGCCCCGCGCATGAGCCGCTAGCCCGCGGGAGCTCGAGCGGCTGGGTAGCCGCGCCGCGCCCGGAGCCGCCCGAGACGTGCGTTGCGGGGCAGCGCGGCCGGGGAACGGAGCAGCGGCGGGCAGCGTGAGCGGCGGAGACTCCACCGCGGCCGCAGGACCAGCCTGGCAAGCCTGGCTCCCAGGAAACCCGCCCGCCCCCGGGCCGGCCATTGGCACGGCTGCCGAAGCCTGACTTCTCATTGGTCCGCGGCTGATGTCACTAAGTAGCCAGCCATCCCTCTCCTCCGAGAGGCGGGGGAGACACCTGTTCTGCGAGGGACAACTTGTTAAAGGGTCAGTGGTTCTGCCTCCTCCACCCACTAGACGGAAAGCCTCCGGGCTGCAGCTGCTTAAGAGAAAAAGAATGAAGAAAAGGAATGCACCCTGCACCCCACACCCACGTCCTCTGCCCAGTTGCTGTGCACACATGCAAACACACGTACGTTAAAATCAACAAGTACGCTCTCCTGTGTTGAGCAATTCGCCGAAAGCACTGGGAACAGAAAAGACGGAAGATGATTGCCCGAGGGAATGGCAAAATCAGACAGAAACGACAGATAACAGTTGGAGACTAAAGAGTAGGTACAATCCTGTTGAGTAACTATATATTTTACATGCTCATTTTAAAAGCCCCGTAACCCAATGGAGGAAATTTCTGACCATCCCCATCAATCTTGACATCCCTGTCATTGCTGCCCCAGTCCCTCCATCCAAGCCTTCCTAGAACCTTGGCCCACATGCTGCACGGTTTTCAGCATGCTTATGGATAGGACCTGCACAGATTGAGCGCAGTGCATATTATACTGGCTACAATACGTAACATAAACACAGACTTGGGAGAGGAACCTGATTTCGTCATCATCAGCATGAGTTCCCCAAACCTCAGTTTGTGTAATGTTAAATGAGAGCGCCACCTCCTAACAATGTTGATGTAAGGATCAAGTGAGATAGCGCATGTGAATAATTTACTCACAGATGGCTTGTAAAATGGCTCACTCAATGTGGTATTTTGTTTAATTTTTATTTATTTTTTATTTTATGTGTCCGGACCTGGGTATATGTATGTGCACCATGTTTATGCAGGTGTTGGTGGAGGCCAGACGAGGCCGTTGGATCCCTTGGAGCTGGAGTTACAGCCGGTTATGAGTCACCTGGTGTGGGTGCTAGGAACTGAACTCAGGTCCTCTGCAAGAGCACCAAGTTCTCTTAATCACTGAGCCATCTCTCTTCCAGCCCTGGTATTTGGTTTTTACAATGTGAAAATATGGTAACTGCACAAATAACTATCACACATTTAGTGGAAATTGAGTACTGGAAGAATATCATGGCAGGAGAAACTAAGGGAGGATGAGATTTAGAATAACAGAGGTGGTTGGATGTGTGATCAAGAACAAGGAAGGATGAGTCAAAGCTTGATGGTGTTGTGAGAAAAATAGATCGCATTGGGTGGCTCAGTACAGCAGTACAAGACACCATTGACTGATGCAAGTATATGTTGAACTCAGTTAAATTGTAGGACTTGAATATCAGATTGAAGAGTAAGGGTTGAGTTGATTTGAAAATAAGAGTTTTATAGAACGAAACCAAGTAGGATCTTCTGGTTTTGATTAGAATGAGAAAGAGGTTGGAGAAAGTTTGATTAGGACTTGACAATTAATGTGTTAATTCTGCTAAATGGACATAGTAATAAGCTGCCCCTTAGGTTCCTATCTTTATACCTATATGTTAAATTATCTCTCAGCCCTCATCAGAGATGCTTCTTTTTGCAGTAAATGGCAATTAATACAGAGACCCACAACTGGTCAATGTACAGAGAATAAGAGACTATGGAGTTCTCAGCTCTAAATGGGACACCAATATCAATCACACCCTCTCCTCCCAAGGTTTAGGGATCATTTTGGAAGAGGGAGGGTAGAAAGATTGCAAGAGTCAGAGGTGGTGGATGTCTGCAGCAAAACAGTATTTGACAAACATAACAGGGCTGTTGCACACATGAACTCACAGCATCTGTGACTATATGCACAAAAGCTGCACAAGACCAAGCCAGTCAAAAATCCCAGCATGGCTAGGAGAGGGGCTCATGAAGTCTCACTCCTAGCTGAGGATCTATTGGTAGTTGATGGCTGCTGGGGAAGGGGGAGTCAGTTTTCTTCAGGGATACAGGCCCTGAGAGGCTACCCATGTTTCAGTAGATGGTCCCACACTCATGCACATACAGGCTGAGGAGACTCAGTGGGTTTTTAAAAAAGAGCACATGAAGTTGAGGAGGAAAATTGGTAGGGACAATAGGGGAGGAATTTGAGAGGAGGGAATGGGGATGTTGATTTGCTCAAAATATATTATATACATGTATGAAATTCTCAAACAATAAAAAATAGTCCAAATAATCAGAAATTAGGATATGATATAGGGATAATAGAATAATAGATTGGTAGGAGTTTATAGGAATGAGGCCTTGGGAAGACAGACTCTCTAGGGCTGGGCTGTGACTGAGGATAGGAGTCATAGGATGGGGAGGGAGTCCAAGAAGTGAGCCAGGGTCCTAAGAGAGTTGACAGGTTAGGTGATCATTTGGAGACTAGTTTTAGTATGAAAATGACAATTGTTTTGTTTTGTCTTGTGCTGTGCTATGCTAGGGATCAAACCCAGGGCCTCCTGAATTCAAGACAAGAGCACTACCATTAGGCTATGTCCCCAGCACTGCCTCTCCTTTTGAGATGAAATCTACCTGTTGCTCAGGCTGATCTCAAGCATCTAGGCTCAAGTAATCTACCTACCTCAGCCTCCCAAACAGCTGCACCCAAGTGAGGCTGAAGAAGTTTGAGGTTAAGGAATGCATGGATGTACAAAGGGTAGGTTCCCATTATCAGATGTTAGAAGGTGAGAACAAAGCAAAAGTTCTGAATGCTTCTATTAGAATCAGTCCTAAAAGTGGGCATGATGGCTCATGTCTGTAATCCTAGTAGTCAGGAGACTGAGGCAGGAGGATCAACAAAAGTTTGAGGGCAGCCTGAGCTACATAGTGAGTTCCAAGCCAGCCTGGGCCATAGAGTGAGTTGTCTCAAAAATATGCCAAGCCAGACATGAAGAAAATATAAAAATAAAGTCAATTGTATGGATGTAGTGAGTTATGTAACAATTTACATCTAAATTAAATTTTTTATAATTTTTGGAGGCAGGGTCTCTTATAGCCCAGGCTGGCCTCAAACTTGTGATGTAGTTGAGAATGACCTTGAACTTTTGATCCTGATCCTCCTGCCTCCAACTCTCAATAAAATTATTTTTTAAATAATATTGTATGTGACTATAAAAAGAATTTAAATATTTAAATAAGACCCACAATGCCATATTATTGAAACCAATATTGTCCAGAAGAAAAGTGTGTAGAAAACAAAACAACACCAAAAACTTAAGGTGTAGAATGCAAACTTTAGGACAGAGGAATTTAAGTTAGAACAGGGCAGACGACTGACGTCTACCTGGGTGGCTGATGACTACAGTGATTTAAGTTAGCCAGAGTGGTGATTTCCTTCAAAATACAGAGTAGGGAGCTCGAGAGATGGCTCATAAGTTAACAACACTTGCTGCTTTTCCAGAGGAGCCAAATTCAGTTCCCAGCACCCACAATAGGTGGCTTGTAACTGCCTATAACTCTATGGGATCCAATGCCCGTTTCTGGCCTCCATGGGCACCCACATACACATGAAATATATTCACACATACACATACACATACATATAAAAAACACACAGTATGGAGAACCCACAGTTGTGGGCACCCACATGCACATGGACTATATTCACACAAACACATAAAAAAAATACACAGTATCAAGATCCCACAGTTGGAACCACAAATATTAGGAACTACAGTGAGGCAAGTCATTTTGGGATGCTTTAGAATGCATCAGTGAAAAGCCATCTTAGGCTATAGGATGCTAAGTTAGCATCTCATAGATATGTGAGGATTACAGTCTTGTCTGCATCATTATTTCTGTTTAGTGATGGCTCAGTCCATTTTTTTCGTTGCAGTAACAAAATACCTTAGGATCAGTACTTTATAAAGAAAAAAGGTTTTTTAGCTCATAGTTCTAGAAGTCTACAAGTATAGTGCTATCATCTGCTCTGCTTTGGTGAGAGGCTGATGGCAGATGGCATCATGAGGGACAGTGGCACATGAGGATGGGATTCAGCAGAGGTATGACAATACCTCATAATAATCTATTCTCAGAGGAATTAATCCAGTCCCAGGATACCTACATTAATCCCATCTGACATGGTGCCCTCTGATCTAATTGCCTTCTACTGGCCCCACCTCTTACAGGTTCACCATCTCAGTACCACCACACTGAGGACCAAGCTTCTAGCACATGAACCCTTAGGGAACAGACCATATTAAATCATAGCAACTTTCTTTTCTGTCTTTCTTTTCTGTCTTTTGTAACTAAAAAACGTTTATTTTTATTTTATGGGTATGAGTATTTTGCCTACATATGTGTAAGTGCACCACATGTGTGCAGTACCCATGTAGGCCAGAGGGGGGCACCAAATCCTCTAGAACTAGAGTTACAGATGGTTGTCAGCCACCTTATGGGTGATGGGACCCAAACTTGGGTCCTGTGGAAGAGCTGGAAGTGCTCTTAACTGCTGAGCCATCTCTCCAGCTCCGTTTTGTAATTTTTTTATTGACATAAAATACACCTGCTTTTTAACACCTCTTTATGTGCAAGAGCACATAAAGTTTGAAATGAATGCAAAACTATATTGTCCAGGTTAGCCTTGAACTCATGGGTTTGAGTGACCTTCCTGCCTCATCCTCCCTAGTACATAGGATTAAGGATTCAATGCCACCATGCCCAGCTCTAAAAATATTTCAAATACATAGAAAAGTAGAAAAAAATAATGCAAAATATCTATATATCCAATATCAAATTTTATTTTGCCATGTTTTCTTCATTCATTTTTTTTCTGCTATGATCAAATTTAACTTCAGTTAATTCTGTTTTCCCATCTAAAAATAATGCCTTTTACAGAATTATAGTAACATAAATCCTTATGTTTATCAATAATTCCCTATCAATACTTTTGAACTTTTTATTTATTTATTTA